AAAAAGGAAAAGAAAGAGAGAGACGTGGTTTGGACGGCTCAGAAACGCTCCCTGCATTGCTCACGCTGTCTGTGCTGTTCCCAGCTGCCTGCACACCCTGACAGAACTGTTAAACTAGTGACTTAAGTGTGTGTATATATATATATGTTACATAGAGTTACATTTAGGGATTTTTTGTTTGTTTGTTTATGCAACTAAAAGTTCTAAATAAACTTTTGGAAGATAACAACAAATATTCTCCCAGCCTCCATCCCCTCTGCTCTGAATAAACAGTACTTGGGGATCTGCTTTTGTTTTTTTCTTTCACAAACAGTTTTTCCTGAATGCAGTTAAAGAGACGGTTCGGTTTTTGCCGCTGATGCTTTGCAGAAAAAGCAGTGTGTGTGTACACACACAGTCACCTGGATCACCATAACACTTGGAAGTTTCAAAAGACATCAGGAGTTGGGTTTATCAGCCTGGATCAATGCTTTAGCTTTTACTTACAAAGAAATCACAGAGAGAATCTAAAGGGCAGAAGGTAAAATTCCCTCCAAATTGGACCAGGGAGTCTGGGACAAATCTGCTCAGCCTGTTGGCAACATTTGGTCCCAGTTTTTCATCTCAAAGGCAGTTAGAAGTTCCTCACAGTTAAAAGAAAAGAGCAAAGATCTCTTAAACAAACACTGCGCATACTAATTAATGGAGTCCAGTTCAGAGGGGCTCATTATGCAGCGAGATCTATTTGATGATGTGCTGAAGGAGTGAAAACCATCACCTCTGGTTTTAGCATCTTTTTCTGTGAAGTTCTCTCTCCCTTTTATCCAGCCCTCTTGAAAAGCCATTAGGAGCGGTGGCATAAGGGTGGTAGGAGAAACAACTGGCCTGCACACGGCTGTGCAGGGGGCACGGTTTCTTGAACCCTGGGGTCAGAAGGCAGGTAAAGACGCAGAATTGTACAGATCTTCCTGCAGCCTCAGTTTCCACCCCCTGTCTGAAAATTAGGGCTTCCCCCTTTACTGATGGGAACCTTTGGAGTGACCACCAATACAGAAAATACCTCCCGATCATCCCACTACAAAAATCCAGGGGAGGGTGGGAGCCGGGGCCAGCCCAAGCAAACAGCCACAGCCAAGTGCACAGAATACTCACGGGCAGAGAAAACGTTCAGGCAAAGCAAACAGCAAAATCCTGGAAAAGGAAAGACTTTAAAGATCTTCCCAGTTGATTATCGTGCATATTGCTGAGTTTAGATAAAGTCCTTGTGCCACACGAGCCCCCACGGCTGCACCCACCAGAGGAACCTCCATTGCCCAGCGCTGGGGTCTGCACACTAGTGGGGCAGGCAAGAGGGGCTGAAGTTTTTACTTACTTCTAGAAGGTGTCAGTAACACATCTCACAGCTCTTGTGGCCACCTTATTGTTATGCTGGCAGAGGCTGTGATGAAAATATTTTACTATGGTTTGACAGCATCAACTTCAAAACATACTTTCCCCCTAAAAGCTGTAAATCCCCAGTGACTATAACTGTGGGCTACGCTACTGTACTGAAAAGAGATCAGTGGGAAATACGTATTTCTCACCATCTCTGCTTGTTTACTGCGTGTGTTTGAAAATACTTTGTGGTTAGTGAGTTTTATTATTTCCTGTTTCTAATCAGTAAGGGGTTTTTTTTTCTGCTGTGAGTGTGGAGGGAAGGGTCACATCACAGCTGGCAAGAGAGTTTTAAAAATAGAACGGCGAGACTGCGATACTTGGCCAACAATCTCCAGGAACAGCTTTAGTACAAGACACTGATTTTTCACTGCCTTCATTTCAAACTCAGAGTGACCTTTTCAATGATCTCCCTGTCACGTATCCAGCCAACATTCTGCGAATCTGTTTCAAGTCGCTAATTCTCAGTAAAAGGAAACATTTCTTCAGGAAGGCAGAAGATTACTCATAACGCTTCATATACATGAATGTCAGCTTTATGTGTGTTTGATAAAAGAACCCGGTATTTACTCCAAACTCATCCGGTTTTACCAAAACAAACACTGTACAAAAGCAGTAATACTTTGCTCTTCAATATAGGCACCTCTCCACTGACAACCCAAAAACGCATTGCCAGCTACTACCATCTTCTCCCTGGGAAAAAGGAGGTGTAGAGGAGCAACCCAGCCAGCTGGCTATTGAAGAGTAAAGACAGTGCTGTGCTCGTTGGTTGGTGTTGGCAGCCACACTGTTACACGTGCTCTGGGCACCGCAGCAGGATCCATACACCCACTGTTTTAACACCTGCAGTGGGCACCGGCTCTCCTGTCTCTTGGCTGCTGGTGGTGCCGCAGTGCAGCCCAGGGCTCCATCCCCCCAGCGCCCAGATGAGGCACCTTCAAGACTGCACCACTGCTCCCACCTGGGACCGTGGGCCCCAGGCACCAGGGGTCTGAGGCACAGGTGGCAGGGACGCCCGGGCCTTCACCTCCTGTGCAGGCTGGAAATGGCCAAGACGAGCACCTGGAGCAGATTCCTCGGCACGGGCACGGCCAGACAGACCTGTTTGCTAGAAGCAGTCACAGGATGCGTCGCATCTCCCCCAGCACACGCAGGGCTGGGACAGCCTGGGCTGGATTCGGGCTCTGTTTGCCCCCGCCAAAGCGCGGTTCCAGATGCGTATTTGTGAATGGAGCATTAAAAAGCAGGGGCCAGTCACTATGTGCATGGGGATGTGGGGAAGGCTGGAGCCGAGCCTCAGGACCCCCACGTGCCTTTAACACAAAGCAATTGCTGATTTATCTGATAACATAAGCCCAGGTGGACAAAACGCCCATGTGCACAGCAGCTCCCTTCCTATAAGCTGCACTCCCAGACCAGCTCTCATGGGAACCAACAGGAAAACTCCCACTTATTTCCTGGGAAACAAGACTGAATCCTTTCCCATCAGGAAAGTACAGAGGGTCACAAATACGTAAGAGAACTTACGGCTCTGCCCAGCTCCTGCCATGCTGTCTTCTCCCAGACACACATGACCTCAGGGCTTCTGAGCATCCCTCTTTTCCCTTACTCCTCCTCCCACCCCATGGGCACTGGAGCAACCTTTTTCTGACCCACTCAGTCCCAGTCACTCACGGCAACCAGGCCAAAAAGCTTTAGGGATTTAGGAGCGGATCATTATCCAAGAGTGTGATAAAAAAGGGCACGCTCCTTAAAAAGGGAACACGAGCCCAATGTCCAGCTGACCTGTCCATTGAGTGCTCACTCTGGCAAAGAGGAGACCCTGGGCTGCCAGCGTGACTTCTCCAGCACCCATGGAGGGGCTCCTAATCCTCCACACTCACAAGCAAGCGACTCCTTGCAAAACCCCAGGCAAAAGCAATTCTGGGGCAAAACTTCTTCAAATGGATTTGATCCACACTGCCGTGGTTGCGAGGGCTCGTAGCTCGCCAGCAAAGTGCTGCCGTTGGGAAGGAAGTGAAAAGAAACCCACCGACAGCAGAACAGCAAAGACTTCACTTTCTCTTTATATATGCCATTATCTCACAGCTTCCAGTGTATACATTCTTGTCTTAACAGGGACATACTCATATTTCATCGCCTGAGAAGCAATGTTGTGTTGAGAACCTAACTCAAAGTCTGTCACATTTTTCAGAGCTTTCACATACTCATGAATAACGCAGCAGAAGCCAAAGCCAGCCCTGGATCCGATCTGCACTGCTGAGATGTTTCATTTATAAAACGGAGCCCTGGTGAGAATGTGGCCTGCTGCCCAAGGCATCAGCACGGACCCACCAGAGCCTGGGAACTCGCTCTGCTGCTCAGGCTCTCCTATGGTCCCTGCATTAGGTGTTACAAATCCTACTGCATGTTTGGAGTTAAAAAGCACATTAGAGCATTCCCATCAAGTTTTCCATGGCTAATACCACCAAGCAAATGGACTTCTTCACTCAGTTCCACATCCACGGAAAGATCTCGTCCTCTAGCAGGAGTTCAAACTGAGTCTTCTTTGGGGCGGGAGGACTGTCCCTTCTGCTCTGCCAAACAGCAAATGCCTCCGAGAGCTAGGAACGATGCCTCCTCACCAGGGTCTCCTTCCCCGAGGAGGCCGGGGGAACTGGCAGGGTAGAAGCTCCATGCTGTGGGAAAGCTGCTCAGCAGGGAACGACTTTGCTGGATAAGAGGAAGGATGGAGGAACCCTTGCCAAGCTATCCCTTTCTTTGCTAGGAGCTTCCTAGAACCCTCTCCTCTCTCCACCTGCCCCTGCCCAGCATCCCTCGTCCTTGAGCATACCCAGGCAGATGTCTGCTGTAGAATGACTTCCTGCTTCAACTGGCATAACGACACCCTATAATTTCAAAACCACGGCCCCAAACCTTTCTCCGTGTAACAGTCCTAAATGGGGCTGGTTTTCTGCTTCCAGAGAGGAGAAACGCAGCGGCCAGTCTTGTTACTCCATCGGAAACGCTGTTCTGCGCTGTAAAAAGCTGCTTTATTTCCTTTCATAGCCACCGCTTCGCTGTTATCCCCTGTCGATACCGGCGCTTACGACAGCTC